TATACATGTATGTATGTATGTATGTACTTATACATGTATATATATCCTTATATATGCATGTACGTATGTACTTATACATGTACGTATGTACTTATATATGCACGTACGTGTGTCCTTATATATGCATGAATGTATGTACTTATGCATGTACGTATGTACTTATATATGCATGTACCTATGTACTTAAATATGCTTCTAAGTGTGCCCTTAAGCATGCACATGTGTACTTATATATGCATGTACGTGTGTACTTATATATGCATGTACGTATGCACTTATGTAGTGGGTTCGTCCTACACCACTTGCAGAAAAGGTTCCACAACGGAAAATAATCTCGGCCAAGCTGGTAGTCAGGAAGTCGTGTATTTATTTACACACCTAGGATCCCAAAGTGCAAAAATCATGCTGACATTTACACAGCAAAAAAAAGTATTTATAATGAGCTCAGTCCAAACAAAAATAATTCCCCGCTTTCTTATTGTCCCAAGCATTTCTCATTCAGCATATTTGCCCCAAAACGCCGACAGTCTGCCGGTCCACACACACCTTTCTCTCATTCGGCAATTACCCCCTTATCTCTCATTCCGCCCCACCCATCTCCTTTTATCAGTGAAAACCCACATTTCATGCATAGACACAATTAGCGTGTTACATTCCCTTCCCGGTTACTTGGTAACCGAACCAGGGCAGACTCCACTCGGCTACACAGAGAATCACAAAAATATTTAAAAATTCATTTCAGACATCAATATGGGCACATCGAAGTGTGCACCCCTGGGTGTGCCACATACTGAGGAAACGAAAACGTGTTTTCATGGGACAGGGCTGCCCCATCACAACTTATATATGCATGTATGTGTGTCCTTACATATACATGTACTTGTGTACTTATATATGCATGTACTTGTGTACTTATATATGCATGTACTTATGTACTTATATATACATGTACTTATGTACTTATATATACATGTATACGTGTCCTTATATATGCATGTACGTGAGTACTCATATATGCATGTACGTATGTACTTATATATGCATATGGGTATGTACTTATATATGCATATATAAGTACATACATACATGCGCATGTACGCATTTGTACTTACATATTTATGTACGTATGTACTTATACATGTATGTACTTATATATGCATATATAAGTACATACATACATGCGCATGTACACATTTGTACTTACATATTTATGTACGTATGTACTTATACATGTATGTACTTATACATGTATGTACTTATACGTACTTATACATGTATGTATGAATGTTTATTTCTTCATATGAAACTTGTGAATTCACTCGTTCATTTAATATGTATTCTTTTAAAATGAGTTTGCAGCTTCTTATAAGAAATGGTTCCTTCAGTCATGGCCTGTTATATTTGATTTTACCGTATGTTAATTCAGCTATTTGATTTTATTGTCTGTTCTTAATGAAATTCACCTCAATTCCCTCATTTATTTACTCCTCCGGTGTGAAAAATTGGACCTTACTGATGAATAGAGGTCATTTATACTTAAAAAAACATCCTCTCAATCGAACTGCGAAACCTTGCAGCATTGTTGTCATCTGAGTCACAACAACAGGCTGCAAACGCAGCCCGTTATTAAACGAAACCCACCTCATAACATTTTCCAAAGCCAGGCTGGAGAACTGACACTCTTCGTTCTCCTCAGCCTTCGTTTGAATACAAAAACACATTTTCTGCTCCGTCTTAATGGTGTCATAATGTCACACGCCACAAAGGGATGAGAGTCAGTAAATGACATTTTTAGCCATTTTCTGAGGCCACGCAGGACAAAGAGCAGCAGCGTTTATCATAAACCCACATGAATCACCACCACTGTTAGTCATAAAGACGTGCTGGGAGGAGATAAACACAGTTGGAGTTATTGATCGTATAGGTTGTCACAATATTTTTATTATACGTCACGGCCGGATGGATTATGGACCGTCTGTCTAGCCAAGCTAATCGTTTTCATTGACAGACCCACACAACAGGCTAAGTTGCGTGCTGGGAATGGTGGTTCGGAGCCTCGGCGGCTCCTCTTTCCTCCTCCTCTCCTGCTGCACAAGATGGATCCTTCACAGAGAAAGGAAACACACCTCACACACACTCTCACGCTGCCGAAAGCAGAACTGGGTCAATCTTGGCTCGTTTCTGTCTCCGTGCATTAGGGTATACCTTCACCCGTTCTGCCTCTCACATCCTCAAAAGGGGATTCCCACATTCATTATCACTGCAGAGTCACTGGTGTGTTTCACGGAGAGAGGATGGGCGTGGTCGCGTGTGTGTGTGTGTGTGTGTGTGTGAGAGAGAGAGAGACGGGTCATATTAAATGACCAAAGCAAAGATTTTAGGAAAATTACTCGGAGATCTATCTTGGGATCTCATTAGTGTGAAAATTGCTCTAATTAATCATTACTGGGAGATTTTAATCAAACTGTTAAGTTCGTTGCAGTTTCTAAGGGACAAATGTGTTTTTATCTATATTACTTTTTAGTTTATTATGATTCTTCCCCTTTTTGAGTGTTTCAGATACAGCACTTTTGCCTCTAGACACTCTCAAGGTGCCCTTTACACTGACTCACTCAGCTGCTGCACATTTCCCTCTTGGGTTGTCCTGGAGGTGATATTTAAGCCTCTCCTATGCGTGGGCATTAGGGCAAAAGTACGTCATCAGGGTTTGCTTTTGTAAAATTCACTATTTTTACATTCATGTTGAACTTTTAAAGAAGTCATAGAATTGGAAAGCACATTTAGCTTGTAGGGTTCAACAGTCGGACCATCGTCAACAGGCCGAGCCCTTCGCTGAGCGTGTTTTTGGAGGGTTCATCTTTAGGTCTGTGGGTTAAGGACATTCCATATTTCTGGGTCAAACCGGTGAATTTTTGCAAGACTTTTTATGTACATACACACTTTATATGTGATTAGAAGTAATGTCTAGCTCACCATTCAAAGTCTCTTGTCGTGGACAGAATAAAGCCATAAAGCCAAAGATCCAATAAAGTCACTCCAAAAAGGAGTTAATGGTTCTCAACAAGTCTTATGTTCACAATCCAACATGATATCTCGTAGAAAACATTACAAAAATCCTTCATATAAGCTTCAAACTTCATTAGCTGGTCCAACAGGTGAAAAGTTGACCTCTATTGGCCGATAGGTCAGAAGTACCGCCCCCCATTCTTAAGTGTTACTAACCAATTACAGCACTGTGTCCATCCATTCATGCATTTTCCTACACTTGTCCAGTGTCGGGTCACGGGGTCAGCCATGTAAGCTGAGAGGTCCAGACTTGTTGACTAACAAGGAAATGTTGATCTGAAGCACGAGGAGCTCTTGTGGTCTGCTTCTACAAATGGAAATTAAGAAAGACTGTGATTGGTGGATTGCTGTGTGCAGTGGGTGTCAGGCCCACAAAACATCTAAACATCACCTGCATGAATCATATTTTTCTTTAAACATCACAGATTATTTCTATTGCCCAAACATATTACCTTGTTGTTGTTGAAGATAGGAAGCTTGAGTTGTCAAATGTACCATACCTAAAATCTTTGCTGTCTTATAAATAAATAAATAATAAATAATATAAAAACACATAATAATATAAATAGTATCAATAAATATTGGTTATTGACCATAGCAGCAGTTTTAGTATTGGAAATGACTCGGCACAAATTTTCCCTGGTTGCGGAGAACTGTCTGAGAAAGAGAAAACAATTCACACAGGGTCACCAGACCTGGGCCAAAAGAGACTGGAAACACCTTCCCTGGTCTGGTGGTTGAGTCAGAAATCAGTGTCACCAACATAGAAGCATGGATCCATCCTGCCTTGTATCACTGCTTCCTGTTCTGATCCCACCTAGGACCCCTCAGTACCACCTGGGTCTGGTTTAAACACCACAGCCTACCTGAGTATGGTTGCTAACCACGCCCATCCCCTCATGGACCTGTCTTCAGAAGGCTACTTCTAGCAGTAGCCATTTTACCTTTGTTTAGCTTCTTTATTTCATAAAGCCATGAGGCAGTTGGTGTGTTTTCTTCCTGGATATATAAATCACAGGCAGCGGAAACCCAAGAAGTGTTTGGTTTTTCAGGTCTGCGGTACATTACAAAGCAAAAAACAAAACAATGGGATGATAACCTTGTTGTCTGACTAATAGAATTCATGGTGACATTTTACTCCACCTTCCTGCATACTTGCATAATTAAAATCCTAACATTTCACGAAGGAGCACATATCTGCATCCTCTCATGTCAGATTTCTAGCCTAAGACGAAGATCTTTTTCCTCTTATACACTTTAGCAAGACCATGCACGATGATAGCACTTTGAAATTGGGCTGCTAATGTCTCTTCATGACTACGACACCAAATATTTGCTCCAGATCTGAAAAATTGACCGTGTTAAGGTCATTTATGACTGTCGGCCATCTTTATCAAGACACAAATCGTTTGGTGGCAGGTGACGTCTAGTCCAGGACACATCATACCAGTTCAAAATCCCAAAACACAATCAACTAAATCCATTAATGTGTTAGAAAAACTTTCTTTGTATAATTTCTTGCAAACAGATGTTGCGCTGTAGCTGACAAATCAATAAACCGGGCCACTGTGTTGAGTCGGAGGAAACACTAAGCTACTGTAAGGGCTTGCGATTCACTATCAGCGCTTCAGCAATAATTTATCAATATTATTCAAGTGGAGCAACAACCACAAAGGACGGATTAGTCCAGGAATCCTGTAATGGATTGGATGTGCTTGACTGGGCTCTCCATAAGGAAATCCCCCAGGGTTACACCAGGTCACACTGCTCCAGCAAAGCCATCTTCCAAATCAAAGGTGCCCTCAGGAAACTCTGCATAAATGACCAAATTCGGTTCCACATTAGCGTGTTAGAAAAAAGAATTGTTGAAACAGTTTGACGTCCTTCAGTAAAGACGAGCGTTTTACCAACAATTCCATCTTCTTGTCCCGTAGAACCGCAGCTGAAGGGCATCGTGACCAGGTTGTTCTGCAGACAGGGCTTCTATCTCCAGATGGGCCAGGATGGAAATCTGGACGGGACCAAAGACGACAGCACCAACTCCTGTGAGTAAGCGCGCGCGCGCGCACACACACACACACACACACACACACACACACACACACACACACACACACACACACACACACACACACACACACACACACACACACACACACACACACACACACACACACACACACACACACACACACACACACACACACACACACACACACACACAGGGATTTTTGTGGTGGAAATGTTGCCACAGCAACATCAGGCTCTTTCAGTGTCTGCGCTCTGGTTTCAAGTATTAGAAACTGAAAATGTTCCAGTTCTCGATGTGATCATAAACAAACTGTGCAGATGCACCCTTCATTCAGTCCCATTGATCTGGATAAAAGCTTGTTGGGGTGTTGCTGCAGATGGAGGCATGAGTGAGTGTAATTATAAAGGAGGCACTGAAAGATTAATGACAGGTTTGAAGTGGTTCTGTTTGTTTTGGGCTCAGAGACCAACTGTTCAGCTAAAGGCAACATGTGGCTCTGCACAAACAGTTCGTTTTATTTTTTATTCTTGCACATTCTGTTGGACCTCTGAAGCCAAAGCAGCCTTCCCGGAGGAGCTGTAGATGGATACGTTAATAATCAGAAAACCTTTTGCAATAATTGAAAGGAAGACGCTGAGAGAAAGTCGAATTGGCTGAGCTGATTGGTGGATACAGTTTTATTCTCTGTTTAATCTTTTGAGAAGGGTAGGAGATATATCGGTCCACCTACCGATATATCGGTAGACCGATACACCGGTCTGCCTGCCAATAGAACGATATACTGGCCCACCTACCGATATATTGGTAGATCGATATACCGGTCCACCTACCAATAGAACGATATACTGGCCCACCTACCTAAATATCGGCAGATCGATATACCGGTCCACTTACCATTATATCGGTAGATCGACATACCGGTCCACTTACCATTATATCGGTAGATCGATATACTGGTCCACTTACCATTATATCAGTAAATCAATATACCGGTCCACTTACCATTATATCAGTAAATCAATATACCGGTCCACTTACCATTATGTCGATAGATCGATATACCGGTCCACCTACCGATATATCGGTAGATTGATATACCGGTCCACTTACCAATATATCGTTAGATCGACATACCGGTCCACCTACCGATATATCGGTAGATCGATATACTGGTCCACCTACCGATATATTGGTAGACCAATATACCGGTCCACCTACCGATATATCGGTAAATTGAAATTCCGGTCCACTAACCACTATATCAGTAGATCAATATACCAGTCCACTTACCATTATATCAGTAGATCGATATACTGATCCACCTACCAATATATCGGTAGATCAATATACCGGTCCACTTACCGATATATCGGTAGATCGATACACCAGTCCACCTACCGATGTATTGGTAGATATATATCTTGGTCCACCTACCGATTTAACATTGTATCGATATATCGGTCCACCTACCGCTAGATCGATCTACCGGTCCACCTACCGATTTAACATTAGATCGACATATTGGTCCACTAATATATTGATTTACCAATATATTGGACTGATGTTTACCATTTTTTTAATATAACGTATCAGCTGATATACCTCCTTAGTAAAGCTGAGTTAAAGTCAGGCACATCCTCAGGCAGCCTGGTTTTGCTACAGAATTTAATTTAAATATATATTTACCTTCCTGAATAACATCTACATAATAAATACTCTAAATCATTTTCAACTAAAATTTCATTTTATTTACCAGTTTTGAATATTTAAGACTTGGTCAGTTAACTGATTACTCTGACTAACTTCATTTAGATGTCTGCCTTTAACACTAAGCAAAGCATAGAATTAAGATTTAACGGTTGATTAAATTCGGTGTTCAACGACAGATTCAGCTTCAGAAATGTTGGGCATCAACTGAAGTTATTAAAGAGATTTCAGCATGAAAAAAAGGTGGAAAACATTTACATGTCCAAAAAAATTCGACTGTACATGACAGCCATTCGTTGACCATGTCTCCTACTTATCGGCAATAAAAAAATCTATATCAGTCAACCTCTACTTTTGAGGCTCTTTTTTCTGGGTTCTTTTTGTTTGATAAAACTGCAGAATTCACCCTAACCCTCTATAGGATGGGGTGCTTACAGGCTAAAATAACACTTATTCCACCTTAATTATCTCACAAAATCCTGTAATTACCTAAAAATAAAATCCATGCAGTTGTCATTCATTTAAAACCTCCACGACCTTGCAGTCTGTCAGAAATCTTTCTAAAATCGTGCTTTTTCACTTCTACATATTTTAAATGCACATATAGAATAATAAGGCTGCTATTAATGGAGCTTTTGTCATCAGTTTATTGACCCGTTTATTAAATAATCATTAATTCCTCAAGATGTAGATAAATAATATAATGAAACGATTTTAAAAAAATTGATCGATGATAAAATATTTTTCATTTTCTACTTTTGGATTCAATGTTCACACAGAATAGAGTTGTGTTTTAAAGTGTGGTGATTCATGAACAAAGGCTTTTAGTGAATTTTTTTTAATTAAATCAATTCCAAACACTGAATATTCAGCAGCTTTTTTCAATGTATTTTCATTTCCTGTTCAACATTAGCTTGAACTGGTAATAATAAAAAGATGGTGCTCATTTCTGCAATAATTGTATTGTTTTATGCCTTCTGTGTGTTTTTTATTATGATATAAAAAGTCCCAAGATGGAAAAGTCATCAACATCTGATGAAAACGAACGTGGGAGTACGATCTAAAAGAGGAATTCAAATAAATGAGAGCCTTGTTTTTCCTGATTTAAATAGATTTTAATAGACAGACAAGCCTGAAGGCCATAAAGCTGACAGAGGAAATAATGAAGACATCTGATTTCTCTGCCAAGAAAAATAAGTACTTAACGGTTTGTATTTCTTCTATGGTGGTGCCAGAAAAAAGAGCATGACAGGAGAAATACCAAGGCAGAAATACGGAGGTCCTAACTCCTGTGTTCCCGAGCATCCGCTTGGGAGGATGTGATCAAGGATCTGCTCTGTTTTATTTATGTTTGAGATTTTCTTCTGATTGGTCGGATGATCTGGTTATTTCAATCTTTCCTGCTGAGCCTCACGCCTCGTAGGGCTTTCTGCTGAAAGGATCTCACTTCCTCATCCAGCCAGCCTGATGTGAAAATCCCAGCTTAAGTAAAAAAAGAGTGAAAAGGGAACAAAGTGTGCAGAAAGGACGTGGAGGATAGTGGTTTCGGACAGGAGCTTATTTGCTTCTCCGTTAGTTTGCGTTTGAGAAATGTCAACGAGTAAAACGCAGCAAAAACACAATATTCATTCCTTCTGTTTGGAGGGAATCGGGATCATCTTCAGCCACAACTTGCGTCAGTTAGGGTCTTCCTAAGTTTTCCTTTTGTCAGGTCATCTAAAAAGTGTCTCGTTGATGGAACAAATGGCACAAAAGTCCAAGGTCATCAGCTGTCTGTTCCTTTACAATCACTGAGTGCTGCTCTTTAGATCTGACCTGATGGAGCTGAGACGAACCAGACCGTTAAAACGCACACAAAGGGACTGATGAGAAACTAGACCAGCTCTCGCAGATCGCCCATGTTACTTCTTACAGCTACATTATGTTTAAAAAGGTTAATTTATGAGATTAGGGCAGGGCGATATGGCCTCAAATCTATATTGCGATATAATCTAAAGCATGTGCGATAACGATATTTATTGCGATATATATTAAAATGACATGCTTTTAAAAATCCTCATGTGGCAAATATATTGTAGTAGAATAAAGACGTCCAAAAAGTGTGGACTGCTCCTCCTCCTCCGCCCTCTTCATGCTTGCAGTCACTGCCATTCTGTTGTCCCAATGTCGGCACGGGTGCACATCTTAGTGACGTCATATGTTATCACGGTAGAGCCAAAAAAATCTATCATTACCCAATTTTATATCGTTTCTACCTTATATTGTTAAATTGTCCACCCCTATTTGAGATGTATTTCTGTTCCATAGTTGGGAAATTAATTTGTTTACTTTGAAGGGAGGAGCTTAAATCACATACTGGAACCAGCCACTAGGGGGCTAGTCGTTAGGTCCATCACCGTCTGGGTTCGATGCCAGGCTATAGGTTCCAGCCCACCCAATTGGCCAAATAGGTGAGGAGCTCTGTTTGATTTGTTAAAAAAAAAAAAAAAACATCACGCTCCTGTTTAATTGACAGAACACATTATTTGTAGCAAACATTTGAGTTGACCATTCATTACGATATTTATATGCGCTTTGCATATTGCGAATGCTGATATCGCAATAACGATGTTTGCGACATATTGTGCAGCCCTACTCTTCACCCATTTGGCCAATCGGGTGGGTTCTCATAGGTTAGATGCCCGCCCCCGAGACAGACGGCACTTAATTTAGCAAATGCCTGAGTTAGCTTTGTTCTGCTCTTTCTGCTGATTCTGCTTTTCCCGGGATCCACTGATTGCCTTTTTTTTTTTGTTCATTTTCTTTTTCCCTTTCCTCACATTGTTTGCTTTTCTCATTTTTATGATTTTTTGTCATATTTTTTATTTCTTTGTTTTAGATAATTTTTGTTCCTGAGTTAAGCTTTTATTTAAGTAATATCGTCATCGCATTGTTAATCACTGTTATCGCACATCGCAGGTTATCCTAATATCGTGCAGCCCTAAATTCTATCTAATTTTGTTTAATACAAAAATTCGGTAGATTTCTAAAACCAGACTTGGATTTGAGAAGAAGTCGACATTTCGCTCAGATTGGTGAAAACAATGCGTAAGTATTGCATTTGGAAACAAAGAAGATTAATGTAAACGGGTTTCCTGGTTGGACTTGATCCAAACAAAATTTTGTTATCATTTTCTAGTGAAAATTGACATAATTTTAAAATTGTATTTATTTTGGATTGGCAAAGATTTTTCTGGTTTTTTTTGTAACAAACCAATGTTGCTGTGTGTCTCAAGGATGTTTTTACCATCAAAGCTTTTATTTAATGAACTCTGTCCTATTCCTTGTCCTCAGCTCTCTTTAACTTAATTCCTGTGGGTCTGAGAGTCGTGGCCATCCAATCAGTCAAGACGGGTCTCTACATCGCCATGAACGGAGAGGGTCACCTCTACTCGTCGGTAAGCACACGAGCAACACATGCAGTCTCACTTATCAGTCAGCGCAGAGGGACAGCGTCTGGACGTCTTCAGTGTGGCTGAACAGGTGAAGGAGTCCAAAGATGGAGATTCCTGAGGTTAAATCATGTTTTGGTTTTAGATGTGCTGCAATCCCCTCGGGGCTTTTTAATTAGAGGCAAATGGAAACACAGATCTGGCTTTATTCATGAGGGCAAGCGGCTGGTTTGGAGCGGTAGATCGGTTGATAAATGGTGTGAAATGACATTTGGAGGAAACTCTTTGAGGTTTGCTTGGAAGGTCACCGTCTAATGATTGTTTCTTTAATTAGTCTTCAGTTTGGTATTGCCTCAAAGAAAAGAATCTCAGAAATGCTGGTTTTCTACCTGAAAACGTGTTTAACTTCTAAATGTCTGCCTGTAGTTACGAACTACCGATTAAAATTGTTGCATTTTTCTTTCTACAGTTGGAGCGACGAGTCACCGAAGCATTCACCAGAAAACAAATGGGTTGTTAGCTGATGAAAATAACATTTTACACTATTCCTAATATGTTGCAGGAATAATTACCTGAATGTCTGCTAGGAGAGATTTACAGCATGTACCCATGTGTTTCTCTGCGCATGTTTGGCCTGATCTGATCCAGTCAGTCTGGAAGTGTTGAGCAGAAAACATACATTTCTTCATTAGCCTGGTGGAAACAAGCCCAACAGCTGTAGTGGTGGCTGTTGGCTGCATGTTACGCTTCACAGACGTTACATGACGATGACGCATCTAGTCGAAAGCTGGGGTCTAGAGAAAATCAAGACCAAGGTCGCTGAGAAATGGTGCAGAAACATACAGGCCAAGAATAGACCTCTGTTTCCTACATCAGATTGAAATCTGATCATTTCTGGGCTCAGAAGATCCTGACAGATCTACGTCACACTGTCACTTGACATTCCTGCACCCACCCATCTGGACTCACGACGGGGAAGGCTGTTGTTGGTTTAGCGTCCAGGAAACAGCAGAGAATGTCTCGGCTAGCAGAAGCTAACTGTTAGCATTAGCTACTCCACCACACAGCAGAACTCCTCCAGGCTTGTGTTTTTGTGTGGAGATAAAACCTCAACGTTGCAGTCAGTGGTAGAGTTGTGTTGATGTTGGCCAATTAGAGAAGAGATGTCCAAATATCAGGAAGTAAGACTGTAAATCCTGCCAACTTGTTTGTTTTTCCTCCGGCTCATTTCAACTTCCTGAAACAAGCGAATCAGAGCTTTTCTTTCCTCCTAGAGACCACTGCAAATGTATTAAACTTGATCTTTCATATGTGTTTATTATTTATTTATTTATTTTTGCTGTACGTGATTGACAGCGATGCAGCTGATGGATTAAAAAAATCATAAAATGAATGAAGGAATGATCACCAACCACGGCTCTCGATTGGACGCGTAAACGCCATTTAACGCAGGCGGAGCGTGGAGCCCGCCGCTGCTTTAGGTGACGGGTGTGTTTCCACTTGTTGTGAAGCAGCATGGTTCGGACGCGTCCCAAAAGTTGACCCTAAATTTACACTTTTTACTCGTCGCGCTTTCAAAACGTCTCAAATTTAGCTTTTTCAGATTGGGTCAGACAGGAAGTCAAACATCTGGCAACTTTCAAAATAAAATACACATGCTTAGCTATTAAAAAACATATCTGGCACCTCTGTGGACAAGGTAAAGAGAAAAAAAGAGTAAACCACCAACCTTTTGGATACATGGCCTTTCTCCTTGCTTGTTATTGAGGGAAGTGGAAAAACCACCTGTGATTTTCCAGCTGTGCGGAACGCTTTAGCTGCCAATAAGCACCTGAAATGCTCCCAAAGTGAAGGGAAACATGACAGAGCTTACTGGGAAAACACATTTATTACATTACGCACCTCTTCCATCCAGTTAGTCCTTTATGCTGTTGAAGAAATCGGTCAAAAGCCCGACCACTCCATGGACACAGCCAAATAGAGAAAGGTCTTTTTGCGACAGAGTATGGAGACAAATTAAATAAGAACGATAAACTGTCTTTAAAAACGGCCTGTTAGGCACGTCAGCCTGTTTAAGGACAAATAGGCTCTCGATCTTTCTTAATGTGACAATGTTTTGTCTCCGTGTCCTTGCCGGACGTATCTGGCCGAACATAAACAACCACGGAAGTGTCTAAATTATAAGGAAAGGCAAAATCATGAGGAAAAGCAGGTCGTTAATGAAATGGACTACACCATGACAGTCGAGAGGAGATGAGGTGAAGCGGAGCAGAGATGAAAAGAAAGGAAGGAGAGTGAGGTAGTGGAGCGGCGGCGTTGGGACGCTGGAGCAGAATATGAATTATTTCCACATTGACTCTTCAGAGAGAGTTCACACTCATCTACTGACGTCCCTCCTTCCTCCCCCTTCTTTCTTTTTTGGGTTGGACATGACAAGGGGAGACAGGGGGAGGGGGAGGAGAGGTGATGGAAGGAACAGGGGGAATAGGAGTGGACGGGGAGGTTAAAGGAGCAAAATGGAAAAGAGAGGTGGGAGGAGTGATGGTGAGGCTGGGACTGGAGAAGGAGGGAGAAAGGGAAGAAGTGGGCAGAAGAAAAAGAGATAAAGGTGAACCCAGCAGGATGAGTAGACCCATGAGGGAGGTGGAGAAGAAACAGGAAACGGTGGGGAGATGCTCCTCTCAAAGCCACAGATGCACAAGGGCTTCCTGTAAATAATTGAAGAGGGGGAGTCCCCTCTTACGCTCGCAGTCGAAGTCCCCTCCAAAGCTGCATGGAGCGGATGTTTGATCGTGTTCCAGCACACGGCCCGATGTGCTGGCAGCTCCATGATAACGAATGTATAAATCATCAACAGCAGGTCTAATTTAGCCCGTGCCAGCGCTGCTTGATGTTTAATTGGCTGCTGCAGAGGTCCTGGCAGGTAAGGATGGTGTCACCAGCCTGTGGAGGCGCTCATTAAACATTACTACACTTTGTTTTGTCCTGGTCGTGTTTACCCGGATTCATCTTCTCCTGTTCACATTAACTCAAACGCTTGTTCCCCCGACACAATTTGGATTCATTTTTCTCTCCGCTCTGAGCTCGATGTGGTGGAGTTGACAGGACGCCGATACGAGTCAGGCTCCAGCGCCTTCTTGTTTTTTTTTTACTTCAGAGGAACACGCTGCACTTGTCAGCAGTCTTTTCTCTAGCATGTTGAGGGTAGCCTGCTGGTGCAACACGTCCTCCTTTGGGAAATAAAAAACACATCTTCCTTATTTCATTTAAGGCAAGCTGCAGGGTTTCAGTACATACGTCTGTGGTGGACATCTTGGATTAGGACAACACCAGTGGTCATTGGTGAGTGTTGGCTCATTTGTAGAGCACTGAGTAAATGTGGTGAGGACTCTAAGCCACCGCTACTCCAAATGTAGCTCATTATGCTCTAATTTACAACTGTTACATTTATTTATAACCAAACTAGATTTTCCAATAGTTTTAATAAAATGTATCCAGTCAAGAAGACTTCAACAGCAAAGATCTTAACCCTTATATGTCCTTAGTGCATATTTATTTGCACAGGCAAGTGTGTTTTGTGAATAATTATGGCTATGCTAATGCAGTTTATCTAACTTTTTGGGAGAATGTGTGTTTTGGGGAAAAAAAAATGAAAAACAGTTACAAAAATTGCTGTACTTCATTCAATATAACCGTTAAATCATTTTGTAACGTTAAAGTCCTTGGTGCATTATTTTTTGCGTCATTGACTTCCATGTAAATCATTTATTTCTAATAAGCCTACATATCAGCATATTTCTTTTTTATTATTCTGTCTGGGTTCCCAGGCCAGTTGCAGACCCAATTTTGAGTTTTCATTGTTTTCCACTAGAATGCACATTTTCTCTATGTATACTGGGGCAATAACCAATGCTGCATATGAAAAAAAATTATTTTAAAATATTTTTATGCGCATTTATGACATTCCAATGTGTTGAGAGTTTGCCCACAAAACAAATCCTCTTGACATAACACATAAAAATGTTTATATTTTTTCATTTGTTTACATTTCCACTTATGATCATACACCTGGCAATGAAGGGGGGAATAAAAGGGTTAAATCTTCTGAACGCACAAATATTTTATTATATTTTGTGAGGACTGAAGCCAAGGACAAAATTCATGTAACAAATTTGGGAGTTATGAAATATGATATGAGGAAGTATTGTCTCTGCATTTTCTTGCACACAGGCAAAAGTCGTGACTTTTTTAGAAAACATGAAATTACACAAAAACTATAATGTGAGCAAAAATATTTTTATGCCTATTTGTGACACTCCAAGGCTGTGACAATTTAATCCCAACACAGGTAATCTGAATATAAAACCCAAAAAAATGAGTAGATTTTTTTCAATTTTTTTTTTCACAATTATGGTTTTGAGCATAAATCTGGCAATAAAGGAGTTAATCTCAGAAACACCCATTTTTAAATTTTATTTTGTTAGAGCTGAAGCCAAGGATGAAATTCACGTAAAAAATTGGGACATATGAAATATTATATAATATTTCTATAGGAAGATTTGTATGTGCATTTTTTTGTGCTCAAAGGACAAAAACATTAGAAAATTAAAGGGTTTTATAAAGATCTCTCATGGACAGCTAACAGCAGCTAACGACCACAAATTTCAGCGGTCTATTTTTGTGTTTTCCTCTACAGATCCACCGATGTGGGGTTTTCTTTAGCCGATATGTAGAGGCCATTGGCAGCTTTTTCATGGCCAATATCTAGAAGTTATTTCACCTGGTTTACATTCTACATTGTCACTAATAATAACAGCTGATGCACATTTCTGAACCCGAACTCTTTCATCTTATTTTTTCTGTACTAAAATCAAACAAATCGATGAACTTACCAAAAATGAAATGTGCAAAACTGGTAGCCTAAATAAAACAAACGTGTAAAAGGACGTTTTTCTGAACATTTATTAAGCAGAAGATTTCAGGAATGTAAATATACATTTAAATGA